GGTTTGTTTGTTTGTTTTTTTTCTGTTTTTTTTTTTTTTTTTCATTTATTTCCTTTGATCGACCTTAATATCGCCGCGGAAACTGTAGGTATATTATTCGAGAACATTTCGTTTCGAGAAAGAGCGAAGAAAGCCTACACAGACACTAAAGGTTTCCTAGGGTGTGCGAATAAAGGCGATAGGGATTTTTAAGCAAGCTTTTTTATCATTAAATCTTCATCGATAAGCAGCAGACATCTGGTGTGACTATGGAAATTATTAATAATAATAATAATAATAATAATAATTAAATAATAATATTAATCGTTATTACCATATGAGCCACGGTAATTAAGTCCTTGAATAGTAATTGTTTCTGTACCAACGGCGGTGATTTGAATGTTGCAACAGGGTGACTAACTCGTACAGCTGTCCGTATTAAGAGAAGTACTTGTAGAAGCTGTCGAAGATTTTACAAACACTCGAATCAACGTCTTTCAGGGATACACATCACCCTACAGTCGTCGATATGTTTTGCCACAAACTCACATTTAAAAGTGGTAGGAGTTACCGTGATATCTCGTACAATGCGATTTTCTTTAGTTGACATTTTTTTTTCTTTTAAGCTGATGGTCTGTTTGCAAAACAGGGACCATAATTAGGACCCAATTTTTCGTGAAATTCACAACAGAAATTATTTTTAAAACTATTAATTTATTAAATATCTAGCGTCTCTTTTTATTGATTAATTGATTATTATGGTTAGTTAAATGCGAGAAGGAAACAGGGCGATATCTTGACTTTAAGCAAGCCTTTCAGAAAATAGGATGCTTATCTTTATTGAATATACAATTATAGAAACACACACACACACACAGAGGCACACACACACACACAGAGGCACACACACACACAGAGGCACACGCACACACAGAGGCACACACACAGAGGCACACACACAGAGGCACACACGCACACGCACATATGTGTATGTATATATGGTTTGAACATCTCTTGTGGCGTTAAACTAGAAACCATAACGCAGTGTTGATTTCTATGCCCACAATGTCTATATTTTTGTTGGATATAGACATTGTAATTGAACTTTATTCCCTTCATAAATATAGCCCATTTTAAACAATAATAACCCCTGACGAGTGGACGGAGTGATTGCTGAAGGGTGTGTCTACGAAACTCGAGAGTCGAGATGCTGAAAGTAACATGAATCAGTTAAGCGACACATTTTATATTTGTATTCATCTTGTAAATGTATGTAGGTATATATATATATCTTCTTTCATCTTTTCGTCTCTCTCTCGCACTCTCTCTTCATCTCTGTCTGTCTATACGTTTCCTCTCTATCTATCTATCTATCTACCTCTGTCACTATATATATATATATATATAAATATATATATATATATATAAATTAAATATCTCTGTAACTATATATATCTCTAGTTCTAGTCACATCTCTAATTCTGGGAAAATAAATTATAGTCATGGAAACTTAAGGTTGTCTATTTTTTAATTATTTAATTAATATTTGCTCTGGTTTTTACATTGAGCTCCCTGGATCACATTCTCTTTGGAATTATCCATACAGATTACCGAACCCTTCATTAACTTACTATATATATATATATATATATATATATATATATATATATAAATAATATATATATAAAAAAAAATAAATAAAAAAAGAATAATTATATTTGGACTACTCTGTATTGAGCACTCTTTTAAGAATAGTATTTGTTGGTTATTGGAATATATTCCGTATGCACCAATCCGATATATATATATATATATATATATATATATATATATATATATATATATATATATATATATATATATGAAGGTCCTTCTATCTATCTATTTATCTTATCTATCTCAGATCATGCGGTTGTATATCTCCCCGCCACACACATGCATATATATATATATATATATATATATATATATATATATATATATATATATATATATATGGCCAGAAATCCTTCTTTTATTCATGTTTCGTTACGACAGACCAGAATATCATTTTTCTAATATATATATATATTTTCTATATATATATATATATATATATATATATATATATATATAGGCGTAGTACTAAATCTGGACTGCGCACGAAACTAGTGTAGTACGGATTTTTGTCTTTACCGTTTAATAGTTGTGCCGTTTAATGCAAATAGGTTACTTGGAAGGAAACATTGGAAAATAGATTTTAGAGCATATAATTCTATTATCATTGAATTCCACGAACCTTTTAGATAACACTTGCAATAGATATTATAATATGTTTATCTCTACAACTATTCTAAATCCGATATTGTGTACTCTCACTCATCGATACAAGTAACTACAGATTTTCCAGTGATGATCCGGCACCTCTTTTAATCCAGACAAAATTATGGAAAATTTGAATTTTAAACAAATTTATCGGCCGTCCGTATTCAATATTATCTTAATAAATGTTTCTAACAGTCGATGGTGTCGTAGAGTTTAT